GGTCTCAACCTTCCCAGACGAGAAGTTTTAGGCCCCCCCCCGTGGGAGAACCCTCCAAAACATCGTCCCCAGACACCCCCAGGCCCTCCAAGATAGCCTGGAAGAGACCCCCCCCGAAATGAGACCCCCCTCCCTTTATTACGAAATCCAGAGTACTCACTAATGTTGTGGAGGACGATCAGTGGGGAGGAAGCATGTTGCCAAATGATTTCCAGATGTCGAGAACATGTCTTAAATTTGTTTTGAACATATCAAGAATATGTTCTAAACATGTGCCACGACATGTGTAATACGTGTTAAACGCATTGTTATTCGATGGTAGGACTGTTAGGGTGTCCATTGTCGTGGCATCCACAACACTAAGGGGTATTTTGGAAACTTGCCGGAAGTTGCCACGTCGAGGCCTCTCACTGGCCTGGCAGCGTTGCCCACATCGGGGAGGATGGGGTTCGCCGGGCCACTGGCCAAGGTACCCGTCAGCGGACCCCCCATTGGAGGGGCGCTGAGCCGTGGTATCAACTCGCCTTGCTCCGATCGGGGAAGCGTAAGACCCGGGTTTGCCGGGACTCGGGTTCGCCATCGTTTTTTGACGAGCGCGCCTCGGATTTTGACGAGGAGGAGTTTCGTGGGATGTCTGCAGCGGGAGGCCTCGTCAAAATGCAGGCTCGGCCTCGTCATTTTTTTGACGACCTCGTCGGGGATTTCCGAGTCCCCCGTACCCGGGTCTTACGTCTCCCCGATCCGAGACAGGGGCCCGAGTGCCGACCCCGCCGAAGACCGTGCGCCTTCCGACGTGGGGCCCAGATCTTCCTGGGCGCGTTCGGGCGATGGCCCGAACATCGAGCTCCCTGCGCCGTGAACGGAATCACAAGGGCTCCCTCGAGGGCGCGAAGTTATTCGCGCTTCGCGCTTCGCGGTCCTCGTTCCTTCTCCCCCTCCTCCTCGTCCTCCTAATCTCCCTTTGGGAGGGCGGCGCGAGAGCGCGAAGTTATTCGCGCTTCGCGCTTCGCGGAGCGCGAAGCGCGAAGCTGGGAGCCCTAGCTTCGACGGGGGCCCAGATCTTCCTGGACGCGTTCGGGCTATGGCCCGAACATCGAGCTCCCTGCGCCGTGAACGGAGTAACGACGGACGGTGGTTGCATGTTTTGGGCTTCTGGGGGCCCTCGCCGGGCCCGCAGATTGTACAAAGACTCGGCCACGCGCAGAGGGGGGCAGGGGGAATCAAGCAGTGGCGAAGCGTCTTGGTGTGCCTATAGGCCTACCAAACAATGCTCGAATCACATTTTGTGGTTTCCACGAAATGTTCATAGCACATTTCTGGCTGGGACTGTCTTGTCTAAGCACATTGGGTTTATGCTCTAAGAACATTGGTTTTTTATTTAGAATATTTTCGGGTTCTAAGATTATTTAATGGTAGGCCTGTAGGAATGTTGGGACGGCCGGTCCCTGCTCAAGGGAAGGAGGAAGGCTTCTGTGAAGCGCCTCTGCCTCCTGCGAGGGCTCGTGCCCTCTCTGCAGATGTACAGGGCTGGCGCCTGCTAAGAAGCAGTATTCCTTTGAGAAGCCTTCACCCCTCCCCCCACCCTCTTGTGCGCGCTGCCGAGGAGGAGGAGGAGGAGGAGGAGAAGGAAGAGGAGGAGGAGGAAGAGGAGAAGGGAAAGGAGGAGGAGGAGGAGGAGGAGAAGGAAAAGGAGGAGGAGGAGGTGGTTCAGATCTCAAGGGGGCCACGGGTGGGGAGGTCTCTCTGGCCCAGGGTGGCTCCCGCTTGCTCCCGGGGGGGCCTTCAGTGCACCCCATCACGAGGCGTAAGTCGGGCTTGTGCCTCTACAGAAGGACAAATCCAAAATAATCAAACAATAGTATAGGTACGAAGTTTCTAGCATTTTCCCTGTATGTTGACGCATGTTTGACTACTTGTCAGCTTTCGCAAAAATCCGCCTGTAGTGGGACATGCCCGACCTATCAGGAGACTTGCAGGGGGCCCTTCGGGGGGTCCAGAATGGCACGAAAAGACAGCGGCACCTTTCGGCGGCGAGCGAGGGGTGAAAGTGAGAAGGAGAAGGCGCTCTCAGAGGGCGGCGGGACTTCTCAGAAGCCCTCGCGTCTTCTCAGAAGTGTTTTGTGTCTTCGGGGAAGGCTGACTGAACTTCTTCAAGGGCTGGGGGATCTCAGAGCCTTCTGAGACTACCCTCGCCCTTCTCAATTCCCCCCCTGGCTCGCCGCAGAAGCTTGGGCCAGGGACAGGTGTTGCAGTCCCCGACGGGAGAAGGGAGCATCAGTCCACCGCCGAGGAGCAGCCGCCTCCCACTCGTGAACGCCACGGAGATTGGACGCTCAGAGTTCGGCTCACTTTGAGACCTGACTCGGCCCTCGCTGATTGGACAGGCAGCTGGACAGGAGATGATTCAGCACGAAGCTGGACTTTGTGGCCAGAGTGCGTCAAGATGTGGAGCGAGCTTGCGGCCACGTGTACCAATGAGGAGTCCAGCCAAGCGTTCCGAGCGTGCCCAAGCACCTCAAGAAGTCAACGGCATCCAGCCATGGCGACCAAGCGTGACATCGTTTCAAGGCTCACTACCGTATGTAGAGGGATCACATGATGGCGGCTCTCCTTGCATATCCGTGCCCTTCCAACTTAACGTCCAACTTAACCCCAGGAGAACGTCCTCAGCGCGGTCACCGAAGGAAACCTCTGGCGCACTGCACAAATTGCCCGTCGCACAAGGCATCGAACAGTTACTTCGAGGAGTGCGCGGCCAGTGGCCAGGTAATACGAGCGGCCTGGCCGCCGCAATGGGCATCGAGTGGTTTGAGCCACATGGCTATTGCTGCGCCGTCGGTGGGTGCATCCGGCGAGGGGGGGGGGGATCGGCGAGGGAAAGACGACGGTGATGGGGAAGGCAGGAGGGAGGATGGAAAGAGGGAGGATGGATGGCGGAGGGGATGGGAGAATGAAGAGAGGGGACAATGGAAGGAGGGAAGAGGGAGGTGGCAGGAGTTGGTGGCGTGAGGATGACGAGGGGCCGAGGTGTCAAACACCGCCACAAGACCATCCTTGCCCGTCCTTGCGCCCTCGTGTGTTTCTTCCCCTTCCTCCGATGGACAGGATGCGGAGAGGGAAGAATGTAGTGGGGAGATGGAGAAGGACGAGAAGGCTGAGGGAGGATGCGGGAGAAGGCGCAGGGAGACGGGGGAGGAGAACCGTTGCACATCTAACACATGCCGCCGATGTTGCGATGCGCCCTCCCGTCCCAAGAGCTCCTCCGTCCGCAAGCCCAGAACACTTCGCGTCGTGACCAAACAAGTACACCTTAGGCGATGCTTAAGAAAACTTAAATTTTCGGCCAGAGTCTCGTTTATTCTTAATGTTTCAATGTAAATCCTAAGATTTGAATAGATTTTTGGGGTTTTTATTCAACTTCTGAGACTATGAATTTCTTAACCCATGATTTCTTAAGCATTTCGCAGGGTGTAAGGCGGACGGTTTGGGGGACTGCTCTGCCCTTGGGGGGACTCGTCGGCTCCCCGGGGCGTCGACAAGCGACACGGGATGGGAGACGGGACACGCAGAGAGTGGGTCCAGCTTTTGTGGGGGTCCACGTCATGCAACAGGGCATGAGCTGGGGGGTCTGCGCACCCGGATGCTGCGTCACGCTTCGGCGGGCGGCCGCTGGAACTAGTGGCGGGCCGAGTTGGCGCGTCGCAGGTTTAGAGTGGTGTTATTCCCTAGGGTTCGCCATAGGCTCCGGACTTCGCGTTGCTGGAGCGTCAGAGTATGCGGCCCTGCAAGATGTGGTTCGATGTGTGTTAGCCCGATGTGTGTTCACCCCCGTTCAGCTCCTCCGAGCCCTCATTGCACCGCCTGCGTCGTATTGACGGGCTTCCGTGGACAAACGCACGGTGGCGTTGCCACACGTTCTGAGGCTCGAGGTGCGGCTCTTGCACTGGCGAGGTGAGAACCCATCTGCGTTTCAGCGGAAGCCACTGACCGCTGCGGGTTTAAGCTTGACTATGATGTGCCAAGGCATTGTGTTTCAGAGAGGAGACCGCCTTCCCACTGGAGGCTGCCACGGGGGCCGACACCGTGCGCTGTTATGATCGTGCCTCTCCAGCGTAGCCTGCTCCGCATCGTCCATAGTGCAGGACACGTACAGTATGGGGGACGGCCACAAGAAACCTTCCACAAGAAACCCAACCCTGAGACCCCATGACATCTACCGATTTTTGGTGTGGGAACGTGGCGCCTTCCATACCAAATCATCGAAACCCAAGAAGCACAGTGCACCCTGGAGGCAAGCAGGGTGTTTCTTCGCATGGGCCTCCCCTGTAGGGAGCTCCACCTACGGCTTCAGTGGACGCCGACGTGTGGCGCGCGCGCCTCTAGGTCGGCACACCCCTCGCACGCTCCGTGGCCCCATGGAGCCCCCCCACCCGACGATCTCAGTGGCTGCCGGCGCATGGCGCGTGCGCCCCCTCATCCAGCACATCCTCACTCGCTTCGTGGCCCCGTCTGGTTCAACAGGGCTGGACCGAAACGCTGCTCTGCTGGATTTTGGCTGTGTTCTGTTACTACAGGGCATCAGGTAGAGCAAAACGAACAACAAAACGACAACGAAAGGAAAAACAACGTTTAGGTCCAGCCCTGCGGTTCCAACCCGTCACCCTCAGATCGGCGGCGGGCGAGAGGGGAAGTGAGAAGGAGAAGGCCTTCGCAGAAGTCTCGGACGTCCCCCGGCCTTCGGAGTAGTGTGCTGAGAGCCTTCCCCGAAGACAGAAAAACACTTTGCAGAAGGCGCGCCGCCCTCTGAGAAGGCCTTCTCGTTCTCAATTCCCCCCCTCGCTCGCCTCCGAACAGCAAGGGCTCCCACGAGGGCGCGAAGTTATTCGCGCTTCGCGCTTCGCCGTCCTCCTTCCTCCTCCCCCTCCTCCTCGTCCTCCTCTTCTCCCCCTTGGGGGGCGGCGCGAGAGCGCGAAGTTATTCGCGCTTCGCGCTTCGCGGAGCGCGAAGCGCGAAGTTGGGAGCCCTTGCCTCGCTCGCCTCCGAACAGAGTTTGCCCGAATCTTCCCAGCGCTCTCATTGTCGGCAGGAGTGCCGTATGGTTCGGGTAGTCGGCCCCGCTGTGGGCCCGCACCCCGCAGCCCGTGACCGGTGGGCTACCGAGCCCAGCACGTTCCGCACCTCAACATCCTCTCGGCAGCCGCGCAGCCGCTGCCCACGCTCGGCCAGAGTCAAGGAGTGGCGAAGCGTCCTGGCTTGCCTATAGGCCCTCCGAATAATGTTATTATCAGAACCGCTTGTGGTTTAGATGAATGGTTCTGAGAACCTTTCTGGCTGGGACTGTTCCAATACATGGAACATTGCTCTGTGATTCGAACATTCTTGGGTTCTAAGAACACTTTGTGGAAGGCCTATAGGAATGCCGGGACGGTCAGTCCCTGCTCAGAGAAGGCCTCCCCTCTTTGGTGGGTCACCGGGTCGTTCCCAGGCGTGCGAAGACGATCGCGTTTTGTGCATCGTGGCTCGGGTTGGAGTTGGGGCCCTTCTCCGGCGACGAACCTCAGCGCGCACGGGTCGGCGTCGGCAGCGACGGAGCCGTCGGCGCCAAGCGTCGGTCTCCGTTCCAGCGGCAGCTCTCCAAGTGCCGCGGCGGGCCCCTGCGGATGTTGGCTGTGGAACCGAAGCCAGCGTTGGTACTGACGTGTCGACGTGGCGGCGGCGCGACGATGCGACGATCGTCGACGTCGCGCATCGCCAGGCAAGAGGCGCGGGGCTCTTCGAGCCGGACTCTGCCCACCTCAGGTCTTCGCCGGGGTCGCAAGCCCAGGGCGTGTCCCCGTCCCCTCGAGGCTCACGGGGCAGCAGCTGATGTAGGCCGCGGTCTGTAGTCGGTGGCCCCCGTGGGCCCCTCCGTGCGTCTCCTGTGCTGTTGCGCGGCTGCTGCGGACCAGGGTTCTGGGAGGAACACTCAGCGACGGGCTGGCGAGGAAGGGGAACGAGGAGGAGGAGCTGGAGGAACGGGAGGAGGAGGAGAAGGAGGAGGACGAGGAGCAGCAGAACGAGGAGGATGCGAGACAGGAGGACGAGGAGTAGGAGGAGCAGGAGGAGGAGAAAGAGCAGAAGGAGGAGGAGGAGGAGCAGGAGGAGGAGGAGGAGAAGGAAAACGCGGAGGGAGAAGACGAGGATGATGATGAGGAGGAGGAGGAGGAGGAAGAGGAGGAGGAGGAAGAGGAGGAGGAGGAGGAGGAGGATGATGATGATGATGAGGAGGAGGAGGAGGAGGAGGAGGAGGAGGAGAAGGAAGAGGAGGGGAGGAGGAGCAGGAGGAGGAGGAGGAGGAGGAGGAGGGAGGGAGGAGGAGGAGGAGGAGGAGGAGGAGGAGGAGGGAGGATGTCCTCAGAGATCCCCGACGGTCTCCAGAGAGGAGTGAGGTGGAGGACGACCAAGGGCGCCCAGGTTGGGATGGGTCGCGGGCTTCACGGTGCATCAGCGGTGCGGCGAGATCCAGAGCCCGACCTGCCCCGCCCCGTCGTCGCCGATGCATCGACGGCGCGGTGCGCTCACCTGTCCCCATCTACTCTGGTCACACCTGGGCGCGCCTCCAGAGAGGGGGGAGGCGGAGGGACGAGGAGCAGCAGGAGGAGCAGGAGGAGGAGGAGGAGGAGGAGGAGGAGGAGGAGGAGGAGGAGGAGGAGGAGGGAGGAGGACGAGGGAGGAGGACGCGAGAAGGTGGGGCGGAAAAGGGGGCGAGGGAGGAGGCGTCGGAGGGGGGGGCGGGGGAGGAGGAGGTCGGGGAGGGACGGGGAGGCGCCGGCAGGGCGAAGGGAGGAGCGAGGGAGGAGGAGCCCGACGGGGAGGCGGGAGCCCCGAGGAGCCGAGGGCCCCCCCTTCCCCTCCCGGCGAGGGCCCGCCGCCCGCCAAGGGCGCGCCGCCCGCGCAGGCGGCGGCGACCAACGGGCCGACTCGCCCTCCGGCCTCGGTCGCTCTGATCGTCGTCCTCGTCCTCGTCCTTGTCGTCCTCGTCCTCGTCCTCCTCGTCCTCCTCGTCGTCGTCCTCGTCCTCCTCCTCCTCGTCCTCGTCCTCGTCCTCCTCGTCCTCCTCGTCCTCGTCCTCGTCGTCCACGTCCTCGTCCTCGTCCTCGTCCTTGTCGTCGTCGTCCTGGTCGTCGTCGTCCTGGTCGTCGTCGTCCTCGTCGTCGTCGTCCTCGTCGTCGTCGTCGTCCTCGTGTCGTCGTCGTCGTCGGGAGTGGCGGGTCCTGTGGATCTTGGGAGGGGGAAGGCAGGGTGTGAGCAGCACGCTGCCGTCGGGAGCGGGTCAGTCGTCGGGGGGAACAGGTCCTCAGGGAAATGGGTACTCCAGATTTCGTAATAAAAGGGAGGGGGGTCTCATTTCGGGGGGGGGTCTCTTCCAGGCCATCTTGGAGGGCCTGGGGAGGTCTGGGGACGACGTTTTGGAGGGTTCTCCCACGGGGGGGGGTCTGAAATGGCTTGTCTGGGAGGGTTGAGACCCCCTCCCTTTTATTACGACATCTGGAGTACCGGTCAAGCAGTGGCAAAGCGTCCTGGCTCGCTTATAACCCTACCAAACAAAGTTCGAATAACATTTTCTGATTTCCACGAATGTTCTTAGAACATCTCTGGCGGAGCTTGTCTTGCTCCCAACCATCCTGTGGTGTTGGGTCCTCGTTTTGAAGAGACGGTGCCCCGCGTCTCCTTCCTCCTCCTCTCCTCCTCCGCCTCCTCTCCCCTCCTATCATCCTCATCGTCAGCATCGTCATCATCATCATTATCATCATCATCGTCATCATCATCAACATCATGGCCGCCGTCATAACCATCATCGTCATCATCACCATCATCGTCGTCATCACCATCATCGTTGTCCTCGTCGCCATCATCGCACGGTTCGTGGCCCCATACGGAGCTCCACCGAAGGTCCTAGTGGGTGTGCCCGCATGCGTCCCGCACACCCATTTTGGCACACCCCTCACACGCTTCGTGGCCCCATAGGGAGCTCCACCTAAGGTCCAAGTGGCGCAGCTCGCATGGCGCCACTGCCCCATTTTGGCACACCCCTCACACGCTTCGTGGCCCCATAGGGAGCTCCATCTACGGTCCAAGTGGCGCAGCTCGCATGGCGCCACCGCCCCATTTTGGCACACCCCTCACAGATTTCGTGGCCCCTCAGGGAGCCCCTTTTGGCACACCCCTCACACGTTTCGTGGCCCCATAGGGAGCTCCACCTAAGGTCTACGTGGCGCAGCTCGCATGGCGCCACCGCCCCTTTTTGACACACCCCTCACACGTTTCGTGGCCCCATAGGGAGCTCCATGTACGGTCCAAGTGGCGCAGCTCGCATGGCGCCACCGCCCCATTTTGGCACACCCCTCACAGATTTCGTGGCCCTTCAGGGAGCTCCACCTGAGGTTCAATTGGCGCAGCTCGCATGGCGCCACCGCCCCTTTTTGGCACACCCCTCACACGTTTCGTGGCCCCGAAGGCGACGGGGCGGGGCGCACCATGCGCGAAGGCGACGGGGCGGGGGAACGGCGCTCCGGGGACGGCCAGACCTCCGGGGCGCGAGCAGTCCGCGGCCAGACCTCGGTCCTGTGGACTCTCGCCCTGGGCCGTCGGCTGCCCGGCGCACTGCTCCCTCGGCCGAGTCGCCCAGGTGTGATCCTGGACTGCGGCCGCCACGAGGTCGGGAACGGCAAGAAGGAGGACGACGACTGGTGGCTGGAGCTCTATGTGCTGCTCTCGCGCGCCACGCGCCACGAGGACCTCCTGCTCATGCGGGCGCCGCGCATCGAGTTCTTCCTGGCAGGACCGCCGGAGGGCCTGCGAAAGCAGCTGGAGCAGTTTGCAGCGCGCACGAAGCGGTGCAGGAGGGAGGCGACGGCCCTCGCCAGGGAGCTCGGCTTCACCGAGTTTATCCGCGAGGCCTGACCTGAGGAGCGCCCCCCCCGAGCCGCGCCTTCTCTCGACTGCCCGCATAATTGTTCGGCCTCGCGCCGCGGACGACCCGCGCGCGTCGCTGGGGCCCTCTCGGGGCGACCAGCGCGCGTCGCGGGGATTCCGCGCGGCGCTCTGCTCAGCGCCTCGCTCGCCCGTCGTCGCTCTGCCCAGCGGCCGGAGCCTTGCCCGCAATCAGCCGGCCGGCTAGCTCTCTGCGCTCCGCGCAGCGGACGACCTGCGCGCGTCGCTGGGACCCCTCCGCGGCGACCTGCGCGCGTCGCGGGAACTCCGCGCTGCTCTGCGCCCGCAGCTTTGGATTTTTGGAGCGCGCAGGCAAAGAGGGGGGAAAGAAGGGGCGGAAGCGGGTGCGATCCCCGTGAGGGGCGCGCCGACATGGGCGTCGCGGCGCGCGGGCGCTGCCGTCGGGGTTCCCGCGAAAGCTGCCTGCGGCGGCCACGCCCAGTGTCACAAGTGTTCGGACAGGCATGCTCGAGCCATTCACATTCATATACATTTACACGAGGCGTAGCCAAGATCGCATTCATGCAAATATATTCACTCCCACGCAGACCCATTCACACTCAGACTCTCTCGCGTTCTGGCTCACCCGCGTTCGTTTTTTTCGTAATATGACCTATCGTATTCCTTTGCGTTGTGTACCCCGCCATATTTCGGCATGTCCCTCGTGCGGTTCGTGGCCCCATAGGGAACGCCACCGAAGGAGGTACTCACAATTGCGGCATTCACAACTGCATATGGTTGGGTCTTTCGCCAGGATAATATCACGTCGGGTCAATGTGCTTAGAACGTTGCTTTTGTTATTAGAACATTGTTGGGTTCTAAGAACATTTCGTGGTAGGACTATAGGAATGCCGGGACGGTCGGTCCCTGCTCAACTCCACGGGCACCGGGACCGTCCGATCAAGCGACTGTACAGGCGAAGAACTCGTCCTGCGGGAAGGCCCCGGGGTCCAGGACCCAGTTTCTTACCAGAGTCGGTTCCCCCATGCTGATCGCACACGTCGTCGGAGGTGACGGGCCTCGGGATGGGAGATTCGAAGAGGAAGGGGAGACACAGGGATGCATGTTCGGAGGGCCGCGCGGAGTTCTTGGATCTGCGCTGGGGCCCCTTCGGCGCCGCCTCCCTGGCGCGCTCCGCGCGCCAGGGAGGGGGTCCAGCGCAAGACGTCCGCGCCGAGGTCCGAGATTTTAGGCTTACGCATGCTTGCTTTAGTTTGTGCCTTTGTTGCTGTCTTCTTCTTATTCCTCTATTCAGGAAGAAAAGAAACACACAGACACAATTAATCTTCGATTCAAAGAAAAAATAAGAAAATATGGGAAGTGGAGGGGAAGACAGAAACCCAGAAACTATGAGAAAGTATGAGGGATATTTTTTTGTGTATTTATTTGTGTGTCCTTGGGCCTTTTCATCTATGAGAAACTCGCACCAATGACGCGCCACCGTCGGGAGCCCGCCGGCGTGTCGCTCCTGTGCCGTCGTCCGGCGGCCTGGTGCTTCCTCGGCGGCAGCGCGCTGCCGGGTTTCCCCCAAGGTTCGGGCTCGACGAAAGGGGGGGGGAGTGGGAAAGGGGGGATTACGAAATCTGCTGCATGCAGCTGGTTTCGGCCCCGCCGCCGGGCCCGTTCCTCAAGACAGGGGCGCCTCCGGCGCCGGGAGGCGCCGGGAAAATCAGCTACGTGAGCTGATTATCAAACCCTCCCTTTGCTATTCCCCCCCTTTCGCCCGCCCCGAAAGGGGCGCAACCCGGTGCGCGCCCACACCGCGCGAGGTCACAGGCCGCCAGGCGCGTCGAGTGTTTTTGGCTTGGCTGGTAACTGAAGCAGGTGTCGTTGATGTGGCGCGTGCCCCCAACCCAAGGTCGGGAGGACCTCGAATATTTTTTTTACAAAACAAAAAAATAAACAAAAAAAACGTATAAGCATGAACTTTCGGCGCTCCGCGCGGATTTCTTGGATCCGCGCTGGGCCCCCCCGGCGGCGCCTCCGGCGCCGCCCCTGGCGCGCTCCTCGCGCCAGGGAGGGGGGTCCAGCACAGTTACATGAAATCCGCGCGGAGCGCCAAAAGTTTATCTTCTTCTTCTTCTTCTAGAACCGTGGATCGAGGGCGATCGATCGAGGGTGGTCGTCGGCGCCGCCGTCGTCCTTCGAGTGAGAGGAGACCTCAGAGGTCGAGGACTTCCTGTGGAACGTCCACACCGTTATAGATGCGCACGGGGGGCCCATGCCCGTCGACCAGCTCAAGGACGCCTACTCGAGCAGGCTGGGCCACAAGTGCGCGATCGAGCGTTTCCTGGTCGTGGGCGAGGGTGGCCTCGCGGCCACCCTCAAGAGAATACCGCACGTGGTGACCTTGGACCAGGCCTCGGAGGGCACGGGCTGTGCACCCGTACAGATCTTGGCCGTACCGATCCTCGGCCCCGGATCGGTGCGTGATGTCGCATTCCTACCCAAGCCACTCAGAGATCCAATGTCTCGAATTTGTTTTGCGGGGTGCACCAGAAGTCTTGAGCCACTCTTGGGGGCCGCCTGCTCACCCTGAGCTGTGTTTTGGCTGTCCTGGGGCCCGCGAGGACGTTCAGAGGCAGACAACTGCGAGAAGCTTCCATCTTGATCTTTATCCAGCACGCTGGATCTCTGGGCAGGAGGGCGCACAGTGGAGGCCCATGCCAAGGAACACCCTGCTCGCCTCCAGGGTGCCCTGGGTTCCTTGGGTTTCGATGGTTTGGCCATGGTAAGCGTGACGCTCCCACGCAAAAAATCAATGGACGTCCTGGGGTCTCAGGGTCGGGTTTCTTGTGGAAAGGTTTCTTGTGGACTGGCCTCCACTGTATACACCGATCCTGGCCCCAGGAGGGGTCTGGCCAGGACCGGTGCAGGTGTGCAGATCACGTCAGGGACCGACCACAACGTTGTTTGCCTTGGTTTTGGCCTCTTGTGTTGTTTTTCGTTTATTTAGTCGTGTTTGCTTCGGTTCGTTTTCCGCTGTTGATTTGAACGCCTCGTGTTGATGTGTTTTCCGTTTGGTACCAGTTTCGTCCTAAGCGTCCTTGTTGAACGGTGGATTTCGTTTCCTGTTCCGTCCTGAGCGCAGTGTCGTGGTGAGCATCGCTGTGGTCGGTCCGTGGACTGCGCGCTCCGGAGGTCGACGGGACCGCCGTGCTGAAGGCGACTCTGCCCTCGGGCACGACGAAGGAGGATCTTATCCCCGGGGGGCCCCGGGCGAGCTGTGCACGGGTGGCCTCCGCGAGGCCCTCCAGCGCACGGGGGCAGGCCGACGGGCCCACCTCTTCCTCTCTTTGAGGCAGGCGAGTTGAGACAACTCGGGAGGGAAAGCAGAAACACACAGGCAATATTCATCGTCGACTCCCCTGAAAAGATGGGAAAACACGGGGAGTGTCGGGGGGGAAGACAAAGACCCAGAAAATATCATAACATATCGGGGAATCCTGTTACTTCTGTGTGTGTATCTGTTTGTGTGCCCCAGGGCCCCTTCAGCAACAGTGGTTGGCCTCGGGGGGGACCCTTTC